CCCCCAATACAATCGGTCGCTTCTATCCAATCGGTGGGTCATTTTCGCGCGCCTCGGTTACGCGGACCGCACGGCATAGCAGACCGCGTTTGGCAGGCCGGTCGAGCCACTTCCAGCAGCAGAAACAGCGGCGACGGGTAATGCAGCGGGAGGGGGGGGGGAGCCCCCGAAGCGGAGAGGGTCGAAGAGCAAGGAAGACAAAGTGAGCGCATATGGAAAACTTGTTGGATTGTCTTACTGCTACCATTTTTTTTTCCTTTTTTTTTCGCTTTTTTTGTGGTGATTTTTCTGGACCCTTCATGGCCTTCTTGGATAGTGAGCCTGTGACCATGTGTACAAGGCGTCCGCGCCGGCGGGACCAGCGCTGCGGATGGTAAACTGAGCACACATTGGGACGGTTTCTAATGCGAACACAACGGCAACAACAACAATTGGTGGAGGCGGGCGTGTTATTTGGTGCCCTTGTTGCTGGAGTTGTTGACGTTTCTTGTGTCCGCTACCTTGACTTGTGTATTCGTTGTCGGCGATGCTGTGGTTGTTCCACCGAGGATGTTACTATCAAATGTTATTCTCGGAGGGTGTCGCCGTGCTGATCCCCCCCCGCCCCCGAGAGCTTGCCCCACGGTGATACCCGTTCTCTGATTCCTGTATCCGTTGCTGCTGCTGCTGCTGCTGCTGCTGCTGCTGCTGCGTCCAGAAAACGAAGAAGATCCATCCAGAGCTGTCGGCGATAACGTTCCTCGCTGGTGTCAAGTTTCACGGGTTCGACATCGCTAAGCGAAGTGAGGGTCACAATACACTGTTGTTTTGGTTCTCCGTGGTGCAGTTCTCATTTTTTTTTTTTTCCATGCGCCCTCCCGGAAGACGAACCACGAAAAAAAAGCACATGAAGAAAAGCGGGAACGTAAGGGGTGGGAGATGAATCACGTCCCATCATGGAGGATACCCCGCGAATGAGATTGAAAGCCTTTTCTTGGCTTTTTTTTTTTTTTGCCATTGCTACTCTCCTTCGTTGAGATTTCTTGAGTCATCAACCCCTCTTGAGCGGCGAACGTGTGTCTGTTTGTTTTTTTCACCTTTTCCTGCCTGTTGTTTCTCCTATTCGTACCCATCTTCTGTTTCCCACTCCCCAACCCCGCCTGCACCTCCACATGCTCGTTGTTTCTCACTCACTTCCCTGCTCACCATCCTAACAGGAGGTAGACCTCTTAGTGCTAGCATGTGTGCAAAAGCGCTTTTTGTTGTTTGAATGATTGATGCAAGCAACCACCGACACACACGAGGGGCCCCACTAAGCGTATCTAACAAAGAACGGACGCTATTATTTGCCACCGGCGTTTTTTGCTGTTGCGTGTGTTTTGCAAATGTCGTCTTTTAAGGTCTTGTGAACGAGATGTCTGCGTTCGGAGAGCCCAAGACGGAGAAGCTACTCAAGAAGAGCCCGGAGGTGAGGTGACATGCATGCATTCTTGTTTTCATCATGTTCATGCGGGTAGCGCAGGCTAGACTACTCTGTAGGTATACCACCGTATACCACATGTACTATTCACGGTAGTTGTGCGAGCGGGAGATCGCATCCCGCCGCAGAGACCGACTTGAGTAACAAACAGCTTGATTGATTGTTCGACAAGTAAAATAAGAGGGGGCAATGGCAAGGTCTCGGCAAGGTCTATCTTCCCAGCCCCACTTCTTTCGGTCGCCGATTCCCTGTCCGTTGCGGAGCAATGAGCAATGGATTGGGCTGTGAACGAAAGTCCAAGGGGGGGTGGGATTATACGCATAATTGCGGTAGGCAATGCCTGGTAGATGTTGAGGGATGGGACAGGTTCTGGGATGGATTGTTCTCGTTTCGTGTTTCCGGTATCAATAGCTCATGAGTCGAGTGCGTTATGGGTGTGTTCGCAAGGAGGGTTGCTCATGACCACCATTGTTGAAGTCGCGTGCGTTGCATGTAGTATTACGGTGGAACATAGTAGTCAAGACCAAATTGGAATATTGTGTAACTTCGTCAATACGGAGTCCCCTATCACAAACTATAGCGCAAATTGACGACAAAGCACAGAGCTCTCTTTCTAAAAAAAAAAATTAAAAAATTTCACCATGTCTTCGAGTAATATTACGAAATTAGTGTGTGATCGCACCCGGCGAAGTTCCAAAAATGTTGAAGCGCGGTGTTCCAACGATGCGGCCCCAGGGCTTGCACAAGTAATCCATATATTGATTGAACAGGATGATACAGCCATCTCAATTGCGAAATATCAAACAATATGTCAGCTTGCACTCAGAATGGCGCCTTCTGTGCAGCCCCTTCGTGTCGCTGTTCGGGAATCAAAGTCGAAAAATATTGGCCCAAAAAAGGGCATCTGTTTTTGGCTTTTTTTTTTTGTTTTTTGTTTTTGGCATTTTTTTTCAGCCCTCAATGGCATCTTCCGCGTCCTCACCCAGCCACTCATCCGTCTGCTCCTCCACCCCATCCTCTATCTCATCCTCGGCCGTAGCCTCTTGGTACTCTGCCACTGGATACTCAAGGCTACCGATCGTACCGCTCAGGTTTCCACCATACAGGCCGATCCACTCGTCCATCTTGCCAATGGCATGCTGCACCAACTTTCCACAGTTGGCTGCCTTCCACCCCCCCTCCTGACTGTCCCATTCCGGGTCTCCATACCAACCGAGACGGATTTGCTTCCAGACATCCATTTTGTTCCGCCCCTTCTCAAAATGAATGCTCACGTAATGCTTGCCGTGCAGCTCGATCGGCTGGAAAGTCGGCATGTACGGCGGTGTCCGAATTAACCCCCACCCCTTCTTCCTCATGTACGTCTCAGCCTTTTCCTCGAGCTTTTGTGGAAAATTCTTTTTGAAGTACATCCGAGTGCGGAGGCTATCTCTTCTTTGCTGACGCCGTTCTTGCGGTTCGCATGGGGTAGCGACCCCTGCGCCGGGACCTCAAAGTTGTACTCAGCAGCCTAACCCTCCGACTCACGCGTCATCTTGAACGACGTGCAACCGTACTTGCGCAAGAGTTCGACGTTGTACTTCTTACTGTTGGTTTCGGGCACCTTAACCTCCTCGTCAAAGCAGTGGTGGTATGAGGCGTTATCGAGAACGAGAAACATCTTCTTGTTCTTGAACTGCGCATCGAAGGCCGGGGTAAGTCGGTGCTTCAACCACTGCATGAACATCCCATCCGTCATGGCGTTATGATAATCTCCGGTTGCCAACTTGGCCTGCCATAGAAATTATGCCGTCTGCTCATCTCACATTTCGAAATCCGCCTCCCCAGGCTTAATCTTCTTTGCATGATTTTCCTTAGCCTTGAACCAACCCTCACGGATAGGAAATCCCTCCTGTAGCTCGGCCAAGGGCCCGTGCTTCGTGATCGCATGCACCATGATCATACGCAAACCTTTCCCCGTTGTACGGCCTATCCCATCCTGCACAACCCCCTTATCGTCAGAAGGAAAGTACGAGTACGCGGAACCATGCGCCTGGTGAACAAAGCTCTCATCCATGTACACAATGACTGCGACCCCAGCGTCCTCGGCCCTCTTCGCGAGGTCCATCTTAACAAGGAAGAGGCGGATGCGGTTTTTCCTCTCCTCGTTCAACGGGGGTATTTTGATCCTACCCCTACGGCGCTTGAAGCCAAGGCGCTGCAGCAACCCTCCCACGGCACGATTCGACATCTCTAATCCGAACGAACACTCCAAGTAATCCTTGACGGTACGGCGGAAGACCTGACGTCCCGCCTCGTGCTCGCCCTTGATGAACTCGCGCAGTCCATCCTCTTGCTCCTTGGTGATGACACGTCGCCCGTCGTCGACGCTGGTGGCCTTGCCTCGCCCCTTCCCGTTGGTCTCGTACAACTCCTGCTTGTCATACCAGAGTGTGCGAACCGCCAGGACCTTGTCCGTACCGATCCTCAAGGTCTTCGCGACCTGATAAAGATGGGTCATCCACACAGAGGGAGGGTGGGAAAAAGTTTGTAAGAATACAGCAGTGTATTGCGTTGCAGTGTATGGCGTTGGTGTACGAAAGCCGGTGTTAAAGGGACGGCGGAGTGTAGACAACGTACAGCGCACGCGAGGAGAATGGTGGTGCCATGCACATACATTCCTTTACATTCAGCGGTACAAGGTGCTGTAACTGCTGTACTGATACACTGCTGTACAGCTGGCAGCATACCGTTATACATACCACTCAAGTATTGTACAGCAGTAATGGGCATCAGTACAGCAGTGCAAGCAATGCGACGATATGGGCCGGCAGCGGTACTGGCATGATGTCAAGCACTGTTGTTGCTTGTACAAATATCTTGGGTGGGATGTATGTATATGCATATAGACTATACATTTGTACCAAAAAAGTACCTGGCACGGTACTGCTGTAAAAACGTAACAACGACATGCGTCTTTATACTGATATTTGTACGCAACAGCCATGTTTCTTGGCTCTCACCTGCTCCTTTGCGTGGTTCTCAGAGCTGCCTCCCTTCACCAGGTCGAAGTACAGCATGAGAATAATCCGCGACTGCTGCAGGGTAGGGTGGTGAGCTCGCCAGTCTTGGGCCTCAGTGATTGCACAGAGTCCTCGACAAACTTCAGCGCGAGAGGGGGAAGCTTGGAAGTCGCCGCTTCAGCAGCCTTGCTGACACGATCCTGCTCTCGCCGTTCACGCTGCTGTTGAAGCACGTCTGACCTCGCGATGTCCCGCGCGAGCTTCTCCCGATCCCTGGCCACTGACGCCCTCATGGCCGTCACGTCTTCTTCCTTGGCCGCGAGAGCTGCTTCGGCACAGGCGGTGGCCGCCTCTCTCTTCTCCATATCATCCAGGAGCTTGTTCATAGCCTTTGCATTTCTCGCGGCCGCAGCGTTGGCCCCCTTGATCGCTTTAGGTGGACGGCCATTGGTGCCGCCTGTCAGTACCCGTCTACCACGCTTGATTATGGTGGGTGCTGGATTGGCCAGGTGCCTGGCGTGGACGGCGAGTTGCTCTACAATGGCCGTCTCAAATTCAAATTTGTTTTTGGCNATCAGTTTGTTATTTGGCGTTGTACGCGCCATGTTGAGCAGTTCGCGTCAGGTTCTATTTTAGAACCTAATTTGTTTTTCATGAACCGCAACAAGTATGCCCGCTTGAAAATTGCTGCCATGAAGTGCTTCCTTTGGGCGCCGTTCCCTTCGTGCTGTGACTGTTCGATGGGCATGAAACCAGCGCCATTCGGCAGCTGATGTAACAGGCTTTCTGTTGAACCCACCCAGTGTGTGTGTTGCTCAATTATTGCGTGCAAAAGTTGCAAAAGATCGTGTGTTTTTCTATGAACTTGGCGGGAGAGAGCATTTTGACAGATTTTTTTTCTTTTTTTGATAACTGTAAGTGCCCAATTTGGTCTTGATTATTGTGTTCCACCGTAATAGCATGTGTCATCGGTGGGGTTTGGTGCCCGGCAGAGCTAGCTACACACAACGTTTTGGCAAAACCCTGAGATACATAAGACAGCTATGATTTGATCTCCATTCGATGTCAACGTCAATGTTGACTCTCTTTCGGCCCTGGCGACTTGACGACGACTGGCGGCAGGATTGGGTGGTGTACAACGCACGGAACATGTCGCGTATCTACCCGGCGGGGTCGAGAGTGGACTCGTCCAACTACGACCCCGTGCCTAGCTGGAACGTCGGCAGCCAGGTGCGGTATTTGTTGAAGGTCGCGTGTGTAATCTTATTTTTGTGGTAAAGTCATCACTAGTTCCACTTATTCTGGACGTGAGTTTTTGCCACTTCCAGTGGGGTATGTTTGGAACAAATGATGAAAAAGGATGGAGCTGCCGGGACGGTCGCCGCACAGGATTTTCTGTTTTTTGTTTTTTGATGTTCACCTGAGGGTTATTCGAGTTTTCCTCCTGCCGTGTCACGGACCTTGTCTCGTTGTCCCCGGTTCTTTGGTTCAGCTCTTCACGCCTTCGTTCCTGACAAAAGGAAAAGGCACATTTTCTCCGGTGTTGTGTTGTTGGTGTTTCCGTAGATTGGTGGATTGGTGGTATGGCCGTCTTGTATGATGGAGACGTGGTCCAGCAGCCGGAAGAGAAGATGGACTGCTCTTTTCAACGTCGCGGATCGGGTACAACAATGACTCCTCTCAATTGCTCTGCGTTTTTTCCCCGAGTTGGTCCTTGTCGGCTGCACACCCCCCTCGGGACACGTGGGTTAATGGTCCTGGCAACAAGCCATGCAAACATGAGCGCGCTCCGCCCCTGTATAGCAACTATTCCATGCAAGACATTTAAGTATGCGTCCCTCCCCCCTTACGTGAAATTCCTGCCTCAGATCGTGGCGCTGAACTACCAGACCTCGGGCACCCCGATGCGGCTCAACGACGGCAAGTTCCGTGACAACGGGGAGTGCGGTTACCTCCTCAAGCCGGAGTGCTTGCGGACCGGCTCGCCGTTTCACCCGGAGCATGGCCCGTTCCCTCCGGGGGGCATTACGCTCACCGTGCAGGTGATTTTTTTTTTTTTCGTAAAAAGATCATTGGATGCAAGCTCACAAAGACGATTGAGTTTAGTGAGAGAGGGCGCAGAATCACAATGAGTATTGTAGTTCGCCTCTTCCGCGGAAAAGAGTCCGGGATACATGTAGATGTGCGTTCATGGTGTTGAATGATGACCAGCTTGTACTTGCTTAACGACAATATGATAGTAGCCTTTCCGAGACCTGATGGAGTGCTTCGTTCATAGGCCTGTTGCTCTCGCGGTGAAACCTCACGTGTCGCTACGAATGTTTGGATTGTGAACATGTGGTTCAGTGTTTTTGTTTTTTAAGATAGTTTTTGTGCTGCTCTTGCTTTTCGTTGAGTTTTTTGCGAATTTTTGGTGGTTTCTCCTGTTCCCCTACGGCCAATCGTCAGAAATAATGTTTTTCATTTGCACCACCTTTGACGGTCTCCCAAATCATGGGGCCCACCTTGCGCCGTGTGACGCACAGTCGCAGAACTGTAGGAAATTGCAGCTGAAGCACCGAGGTTTTAGGAATTGCTAGGCTGTCCTTCGTATGTGGCATTTGTATGTCGTTGTTTCAGGCTGCCAGTGCAAGGAAGTAAATAACAAAATGTAGCCTCGAACTGGCGTGACGCGACTTCCTCCACCCTCCATTGCTGTTATATACAGCGGAGTCTTGCCTTCGCGGCTTGCGGTTGTTGCCACGAGCGATAGAACTCATTGTTGGAGCTTTTGACACCGAAGACTCTCTCCCTCTTCTTGGACCGGTCTTGGAACAAGGCTGTACGTATTTGGTTGTCGGTTTTGCTCCTTCCAGCGTATTTTCGACCCTTTTCTCGCATCGATTGTATAATAGACGCATTTTTTTTTTAGATCACGACACTTGACGACATCTGCACATTTTTTTCTCCTTTTTTTTTTTGTCCTTCCCCCGTCCCCCCCGGTGTTTGCCATCGGGGTTGGGTTTTCGTCGCTTGGCAACGACGTTGTAAAACAAGCCGCCCCCCC